TCTTTCCACGCTGAGCCACGGGTGGCTGTACAACAGCTTCACTTGAGTGGGACATAAAGAAAGCCAGTCAGCATCTGCACCCTTCCTCTCAGCTAGCTTACGTTTTTTTTAATTATTAACTAAAAAAATTTTTTTTGTCCATGCCATATGGCATATAGGATTTTAGTTCTCTGGCCAGGGATCAAACCTGCACGCCCTGCACTGGAAGTGAGGAGTCTTAACCACTGTACTGCCAGGGAAATCCTCAAATAGCTTGTGAATAGATAGTTTGAGATGAATATTTTATAGAAGCAGATGATATTTTGGAAAATTTAAGCATTCTTAATAGAGAAAAGTCTTTGTGAGTTCCAAATTGGAAGTCCAAACATACGAAAAAGGGGCGAAACCAGAGGCTGGCACGTTCAGTGGAAAGTGGATGATGTAAATGAATGTCAGCCACAGGCCATGGTGGGGCCTCTCCCCTGCTGGTGCCCCAAGGAGGCTGGAGTGCCCAGAGCCTGGAGACCCCTGGAGGGAGCCTGCCCGGGGCACCCGGGCTGCCACGTTCTGTGGCTTGTTCCTTTTCAGGAGGCCACAGAAAAGCCAGGTTTTGGTGGTTTGGTTTGTTGAGCCCATTGACTCCTTACAGGAGAAAACAAGGCAGTTTTTGAACACCACTCAGTACATCTGGCAAACAAAAGTGTCCTTGGCTGAATTTGATGCAGTGGACTTGCCAAGGTGTTCCCAAGCCAGACTTTGCCCAAGGGCAGCCCTAAAACCAGGGTGGCTGTTCCCAAGGCAAATTACTTCCTTCAGAGTTGCATACTTTTATATTTTTGCAAATGATTCAGATTTTCTGCGTGTGTCATAGTCTTTCCCATTATTGACATATTTAGAACCGAGTGTGATAAACCCCATTTTAGTTGCACCAGAGCTCTGCCTTCACTGTTGCTACAGTTATTTCCTGACTCTTCCAGCCGACAGCTGGCACAAATAAACGAGTGAGTAGATGGAGTGAATGGTGGGCGTGGGGCTGTATGGCTGAGTTCTGATGGGTTGGGTTTCTGAACATCAGTCACTGAAGCACATTCCCAAGAGGGCTGGCTGAGGTCATAATGATTGCAGTAAATTCATATTGCATATATTTTGCTTTATATAGCCTGTTACAGTTTTTTGGTGTGTTGTTCTTACCCTAAAATATAGTTCTAAAGGGGCTTCCCAGGTGGCTCAGTGGTAAAGAAGCTGCCTGCCAATGCAGAAAACATGGGTTCGATCCCTGGGTGGGAAAGATCTCCCTTGGAGCAGGAAATGGCAACTCATTCCACTATTCTTGCCTGGAAAATCCCACGGATGGAGGAGCCTGGCAGACTACAGTTCATGGGGTCACAAAAGAGTCAGACACGACTTAACGACTAAGCAACAACAATACTTTAAAAATGTCAGTTGGACCTTATAGATGAAATTCACTTCTAGCATTGTCTTCTAAAAATACGATAGGAAGCCTATGGCATGTTTAGGATATATAATTTGCATAAACTATAGTCATGTGTAGGGAATATGCAGCAACACAGGTTTTCCAATTCTTTTAGACCAGAAATTGCATGGTTTGGAGGGACCCGTGCCCAAGAGTGACCTGTCTACATGTTGGTAGACAACTCATTTATCTCATGTCAACATTACCTCGGATGAGGTGATGGTTTCTAATCAGAGGGGCCAACTGGCTCTAGGGAAAGCTTTGTCCTAACTCCTCAGGCCCCCACCCCCACCACCCCTTACAAGGGGAAGATTATAGCGTCAGTCCACAAAACCAGTCTATCAGGCAGCTGTTACGTTGTATGCAGGGCTCTGCAAAGAACATTAGCCTCACACTCCGCCCGAAACAAATATTAGTCACCGTTCACCACAAATTCAAGGAAGAAGATGGTTTAAATAGCCCAGAGCCATATAAAGCTCTAGGCTTTTCCAATTTGTACCTTGGTAAGATGTTTCCTTCCATCAATTGAGACAGCTTGCATGAAGCACACAATAGCAAGAGTATTAAATCCAGGGTGGTAGGACAAACCTTGCACCAGGCTCAAAAAACCATCACAGTGAACAGAGACATACGGAAGTCAGAGGAACTGCCGATGATTGAACACTTTCTCACTTAACACCTAATAGTCAGGGGAGGTATTCTCATCTCCCTTTTACAAATGAATAAATAACACGAGGGTTACCCAGCTGGGGAAGTTGCCCAGGACAATACAGATAGTAACGAGTGTTATCAGAATCCAGACTCAGATTTATCTAACTGAAGTTGGGCACAGAAACCCTTCACTGTCTCTCATAGGAAACTGTGAAACGAGGTGGAATGAGGTACCTACTATGAGAAGGGAGTGGTGTTTTTTGGAGTTCAAACAGGAGAAAATGGGAGGAAACGGGGGCCCTTGTGAAAGAGATGCAGGGAACAGTGGGTGGAGGTGATTTCTGCAGGGTGTGGAGAAGGCCAAGTTGAGGGGCTGAGGACTGAGGGGAAGATCATGGGAAATAAGGAAGCCAGGACTGAAGAAGGTGGAGCTGGAGGACAGACTGAAGTGGGTGGGGGGGAGGGAGCGGGGACTAATGCACTAAAGAAGGGGTGAGTGAAAGTCACTCAGTCATGTCTGACTCTTTGCGACCCTATGGACTATACGGTCCCTGGAATTCTGCAGTCCAGAATACTGGAGTGGGTAGCCTTTCCCTTCTCCAGTGGATCTTCCTGATCCAGGAATCAAACCAGGGTCTCTTGCATTGCAGGCAGATTCTTTACCAACTAAGCTATCAGGGAAGCCCTAAAGAAGGGGTGACAAATAGTCCGTTGGATTGCAAGGAGATCAAACCCATCAATCCTAAAGGAAATCAACCCTGAATATTCACTGGAAGGACTGATGCTGAAGCTCCAATACTTTGGCCACGTGATGCGAAGAGCTGACTCATTGGAAAAGACCCTGATGGTGGGAAAGATTGAAGGCAAAAGAAGACAGGGGCAGCAGAGGATGAGATGGTTGGATAGCGTCACTGACTCAATGGACACAAGTGTGAGCAAACTCTGGGAGATGATGAAGGACAGGGAAGCCTGCCGTGTTGCAGTTTATGGAGTTGCAGAGTCTGACATGACTTAGTGATTGAACAACACTGGCCAAAATGATGGTTTGGATTTTTCTGTAAGATGTTATGGAAAGCCTCAATGAACTTTGACCAACTCAATAATAAGTGGTCTTCAGCCTGTAGCTCACCTGTCTCTGGGTTTCACAGAGAATCCTTATCAGTATTGAAGAGCTGGGGAGGGAGAAGGAGACTCACTGAGGTGAAGTTTCTGAAAGCAAAGTGGTGATAAATGAGATGAAAAACCTTTGGTTTATGGAACGTTATGGGCTTCCCAGGTGGTGCTAGTAGTAAAGAACTTGCCTGCCAATGCAGGAGATGTAAGAGACGCAGGTTTGATCCCTGGGTCGGGAAGATCCACTGGAGGAGCAAATGGCAACCCACTCCAGGATTCTTGCCTGGAGAATCCCATGGACAGAAGAGCCCGGTGGACTACAGTCCATAGGGTCACAGAGTGTCGGACATCACTGAAGTGACTTAGCATGTCAGCAGAAACATGCCCCTGTTGGGTGAGACTCCGAGGCGGTCTGGGAGCTGAGATGGACCTTCTCCTTGGGGAGCTCACAGCCCTTGAGGCCTCTCTGTCAGGTGGGACTCTGGGGACCCCTTCCTGGGGCTCATGTATTTCAGGGCCACAACCCTGGTGATGATTTTCTGCGCGTCTAGCTGTCTGGGCCCAGCCTTGTGTCCTGTCCTGATTGTCTGTTCCTGTTTTCTCAGGGGAGCTCTACTTCTTGGCCACCTCTTACCCCAGTGCCTATGCACCGCACGGATCCATTTACAAATTTGTTGACCCATCAAGGTGAGATTTGGGTTCCTTTTCTTCTCAAGTGATTTGAATTAGTCCTTATTTCCATGGCAGATCAGAAAGACAGTCCTCACTCCCCAAGAATTACTATCAATAGAAGTGATCAACAAAGCAAATCTTTGCTTTAGATTCAAAGCAGATTGGACTGATGAAAGTGTAGGACAGTTATGGAATATTTGGGAAACGAGCTCTTCGTGACTGAAAATGAAGATCTTGAGCCTTTATAGGATGACTAGTTGTAGACCTGTAGCTCCTGTCTTGTTTTTTTTTTTTTTTGGCCACACTGTGCTGCATACTGGATCTTAGTTTCCTGACCAGGGATTAAACTTGCACAGTGGAAGCGTGGAATCTTAACCACTGGATTGCCAAGGAAGTCCCTTGTTTGTTTGTTTTTTTAAAAATATGCTTCTGGAAACTTCTGTCTGGGATCATCTGACAGTGGTGTACAACTCTGACCACCTGAGTAAATATTGCTGCCCTTCCGTGGCTTGGTCTTTGGCAAATACAGTTGGCCCTCCATATCCGTGGGTCCCATGTTGGTAGATTCAACCAACTGTGGACCAAAAATATTTTGAAAACTTCTGGAAAGTTACAAAAAGCAAAAGTTGAATTTGCCATGCCTCGGCAGCAATTTCTGTAATGTTCGCAATTGTATTTACAACTAATTGCATAGCATTTGCATTCTTAGGTAACGTGAGTAGTCTAGAGATGATTTAAAGTATACGGGAGGATGCGTAGGTTATATGCAAACACTCCATCATTTTATATAAAGGACTCGAGCATCAGTGGGTTTTGGTATCTGCAGTGTCTTGGACCTGTCCCAGGAGAGTCCCAGAAGCAGCTGTATCTTCAACTGTTAGGTTTCTCTGTGTCTCCACCTGACTGTTCCTAGAATTCAGGGACAGCACTTATTCAGTAGGTGGACCCTATGATGTGTAACTCTGCTTTTCTGCCCACCTCCTTCAGGGACTAACCGACCTCCACTCATCTGGCAAAAGCCAAACTACAGCTTCCCATTTGTGAGGTTGTTGAGTGTGCGTCCCTATCTGTCCCTGGGAGAGTGATGCGGGGTATCCATCCCGAGAGCTCTGGGCAGTGCACTGGATTTATTAATATCTTAAGATTCTTACCCAAAGCAAGAAAGTCTCCCCACAAATCAGCCTGAAGGTAGACCTGCCAAGGACGACTTCCCTTGAGGCTTACGTTACCTTATCTGGGGTAGTTATTCAGAGGACATCTGGCAGCTCAGTCCAGCTACTGGTGAGGGCTCAGAAACCTAGCTTAGCTCAGTTCCTCTTGGCAATAGGGCTCCCTTTAGGTGTTCTCAGAAGTTGCTGGAAGGGACTTTGTCCTTGAGACTGTGCCTGGGGGCTCTCCCGTTGGGGGGCAGGGTTGCCAGGGTGAATTAGGGACTGCTCTGTCTCCACTGCTGGGTCTCCTCCGTGCAGATCTCCTGTGTTCCAGGGATGGAGCAAACCCAGGGTCTTTAAAGTGCTTCTGGTGACTGACAGAGACTGTGTGGGGAGTTTTCTGCTCTTTTAATCAACAGGTTTCCTGCGTGAATCCTTTCTTCTTTCCTCTGAAAGTTTCCTGATTAGATTAGGGGATAATTTAGCTCACCTCTGGCAGTGTAAGAGGTCAATCATAAAGCAACTGTAAAGGCTGTTCCACCTAGAAGACATTGACATTTATCGAGCCATTTCATGCAGGCTGATATTCAATGCTGACAGAATCCTAGCGAAGGCAGGGTAACACCCTCAATCAACAGATTATGGTAACAGCCTTACTACTTTAACTCGCTTGCCTGAGGTAGAGCTAGTTAGAGGGGCCAGAGGATGGGAACACATCCCTCTTTCTGGATCAAAGTCTTTTCAACACCGCCCATTCAGTTCNTCAACAGATTATGGTAACAGCCTTACTACTTTAACTCGCTTGCCTGAGGTAGAGCTAGTTAGAGGGGCCAGAGGATGGGAACACATCCCTCTTTCTGGATCAAAGTCTTTTCAACACCGCCCATTCAGTTCAGTTATAATGATGACTTGAATTGTAGAGACTTTAAAAAAAAAAATTCTGTAGCAATGCATCCCGATTCTGCTTTTTTAATTCTTCAGCCCATCTTCGCACTAAATACACCCATCCCAGCTGGGTATGAATGCTGAATGCTGGGTATGAATCTTGGCTTTGCTACCAACTAGTTGGAAGTGCTCCTAGTCTGCAAAGCCCCTCTTATTTCAGAAGATGCACTCGGGGGACAGCAGTGTAAGAATCAAAATACTAGGAGGCAGAGAGGCTGGTGTTACTTAAGGGGCTGCGCCATGAGTATCTGAAGAGATTTTCCTTAAAGGGAATTGCCACTACCATCAGACCAGAGGCAGAGCGTCGTTCTCCTCATCACCATCACTACCATCATCACCCACAGAGCGTTTGTATGTGCTGACCACTGCTTCAAGTGTTTTTTTAAATCTCATTTAAAAAACAGTTTAGGACTTCCCTGGTGGTCCAGTGGTAAAGACTCTGTGTTTCTACTGCAAGGGGCATGAGTTCAATCCCTGGTCCCCTCCCCTGGTCCCCAGGTCCCCAGGTCAGGGAAGTTCCACATGCCACACAGTGTGGTGAAAAAAACAAACCACCTCCCACCCCATAACAATAACAACAAAAACAAAAACAAAAAATAAGTTATCCATTCATCACTTACGGTGTGCCAAGTACACAGGTTTCAGTTAATCCTCCCCATCTCCCTGTGAGGATGGTGCTGTTATTTTTTCTACGTTAATATTTGCGAAAATTGAAACTCAGCAAGTCTTACTTACCTGTGGTCCCTAGGACTTGAACCCTGTTCTCTGTGGCCACGCCCATGCCAGCCCCCTCCCTACACTGTCCCCCAAGGGCCTGCAGTGTCCCCGTGATGCCCGTGTCCTTCCTCCTCTCCACCTGAGCTCGTTGAAGATTCCCTGCTTCATCTGTCCCACCCCTGTGGGGAGGGGAAGGCTGACCTCAGTCCTTACACCTCTATACCTGCGGGTGACCCCGATATCCTGGTTCCGTCCTCAGAGTCTTGTGTCCTCACTTTTTCCATCTCTTTTCAGGAGAGCACCTCCAGGCAAATGCAAGTACAAACCAGTGCCGGTGAAAACCAAGAGCAAGCGGGTCCAGTTCAGGCCACTCGCCAGTGAGTCCGCGTTTGTCTTTGGGCTCAGGCCTTGGCATCACGGCCCTGGCTGCAGTGCCCCGTGCCAACAGCTGCCATCCCGGGGTGGTGGGTCCTCTTTTCTCACCTAAGGCTTAGCCTCTGGATGAGGACCATAACCTGTGGCTCAGCCTGTGTGTCTTGGTTGTGCACCAGGGGGAACACAGGCTGCCCTTCATTCAATCATTCATGTATTCGTTCTTTCATGTCGAACTTTGCAGCAGTCCTTGTGCTAATCCCTGGGGATAGATACACCAGTGACTTGACCAATAGGAGTTTAGAGCCAAAGGAGAGGGGGGCAGGGAGTCCAGGCACGTGAAGAAATAAAAGAACACTGAGATTCTGGCTAGAAGGATGTCCAGGGGTCTGAGAGGGCCCCTGAGAGTGAGGAAGGACCTCTTCCTTGGGGTAGCGTGGGGAGTCAGGAAAGACTTTTGGGGAGAGAGGTGGTGTCTTAAGGGCACTGTTCTACAGGTACGCATTACTGGAGCGACCCCATTACGAAAGTCTTTTATTTAGATCAAGGCCAGGGAATTAAACATATTAATTTCAAAAGAATTTATATTGAAGAACCCTCAAGTGGGCAGAGGATTCCTCCCTTACCGCTGCTTTCCAGGACTCATATTTCTCCTAAATTAATGCTCATTTCCAGAGATGGTCTTGGACTTGCTAAAGGAGCAGTCTGAGAAAGCCGCTAGAAAACTGTCCAGTGCGACTTTAGCTTCCAGTCCAAACCGGGCCTCATCTCAGAAAGCCTCCTTCAGGAAGCCAGCTTCTCCCACAAGCAGCCGGAAGACATCTCCAAGGCCTGGTGCAAAGAAGAGAGCCAGGGTGTGGTCCCCAGGCTCCCAGGGGAAGAGGAAAGGGATCCCCAAACGCCCTGGTGGCAGAACCGGGCAGGCCGCAGGGCAGAGACGAGCTGGCAGAAGTCTCCCTCCGCCTCTTGGGTCGAGTTGGCCGCTTAGCGGACCAGAAGCGCCTCACCGCGTGGAAGCTGCTGCTGCCGCTGAACGTGACCTCAGACGTGCGGGAAGCCAGGGGTGGAGCGGGGGCCGGCAGAGAGCGCCCGAGTCGGGGGGCCGGGTTGTCCTCTCCCCGAGTCTTGCCAGCTGAACGGAGGCTCCTCATCTGCTTCTGCGGGGAGACCAATCCCCACCTAGCTGGGGCACCTCGATAATCACGTGCACTAATCTGTAAGCCTGCTTCAAATCCCGCTGCGTGTTTCCGTCTTGCTTTGTAAGTGTCTGTGGGCAGCAGTGATAACATCAACACGGGCTCAAATGGACATATATCCTTTGAGCTCCTTGACGTTTGTCTGGCGTTAAGGAATCTGACGTGCCTCACCAATTTGCCTTGAGAACCATGTCTTTCCCAGCTCTAAGAGGAGGCCTGTAGTGGCAAGTTTCCAAGGAGAACCTCTTCTAAAGTGGTCATCTTCTTTGCCCTCATTGAAGCTCAGGGTCTGAATAAGGGCAGGTCCTATTCTGTACCTCTGGCAACTACTGTTTTGCTCTGGCAAGTAGCATAATAAAGGTGATTCCATTGTGCCTACCTGTTGTGTGCTAAGTTTAGATACATTTTCTGAAACCTCAAAACTTTGCATCATGTGTGTGGCCATATAACTTACATTGAAGATGAGAAAAGTGAGGCTTGGTGAGGCTAAGTGGTGTGCCCTAGACCATAGCAGTGAGGGGACAGTCAACTGTTTAGCTGGACTTGAACCAATGCCCCAGTCTGCCTCCTGTGAACTTGCCTCCCTCTAGGGCCCCCAAATGAGGATAGGTGACTTTTAACCAGGTATTTGAGGAATGAAAGCACTAAGAGAGGAAATGATCCCTGTCTTCAAGAAGTTCTCCAAGTTCTGCAAAGCATCCAGAACAGTGAAGACAATTTGACTTAAGCAGAACAAAACCAAAAATGCCAGGGTTGTTAAGGACTTTTAGAGGTCATGCGATTCCTGCTTCAGATGAGGTTGAACATACCCCAGACAGATTATTTTAGACTTCCAAAGATATAGGTTCCATTTTTTTCTTTAGCAATCTCCATTCATAGGGTAACCTAACCTAATATAAATACACCAAACCTCTCTTTGAGTCTCTTTCTCTTTTTTCTTCTTTATTAAAGATGCAAAACGCTGGTCATCATTTTCTGAAGACCATTTTTAGATCATCTCTTAGCTATCTCGGCTTCCCAGTTGACTCCGTGCTAAAGAGTCTGCCTGCCAATGGAGGAGACACAGGAGACATGAGTTCCATTCCTGGGCCAGGAAGATCCTCTGAAGGAGGAAATGGCAATTCACTCTGGTATTCTTGCCTGGGAAATCCCATGGATAGAGGAGTCTGGTGAGCTACAGTCCATGGGGTCAAAAAGAGTTGGACACAACTGAGTGACTGAGCATGCACCCACGCACGGATCTACCGGCCTTTACCCCATCTCATGGTTTTGCTTTGCTTTACTTTCACTTACCTCTGTAGCTCTTACGAACACTCTTGCTGACTGAAAAAAATTGCACGGATGAAAGTTGAGAGTTATATTTTATTTGGCAGGCTTACTGAGGACTATAGCTCAGGACAGCAACCTCTCAGCTCTGACTGACTGTTCCCAACAGGTAAGGGAGGAGCCAGGGTTTATAGGAGTTTTTGCTGAAAACGGACGAACAACATGTGGTTGAACATCAAAAGATTAATGCTAATCACAAAGAAAATGGACAGTTCATGTTAAAGATCTCAATGCTTTTCTACGTATGGGAAGATGCAAAAGAGTCTGGATTTATTGAAATTACTCCTTAGCTATGCATCTTAACTGTCTAGAGCCAGTATCTTGTTTTTCTTCATCCTGAATCCCCATGAAGTTGCACTGTCAGGGGTGGCTTTAGTGGCTGATGACTGGATGGCCACAGCACCGCTTGTTTACTGAAATGGCAGGTGATGTTCTTTGTACACACTCTCTGGGATATTTGTACACACTCTCTAGGATAAAAATGAATTTCAGGGTCTGACCAACCCTGACATTTTGCACTTTTAGCTTCTCAGATGAAGACACCAATGAAACAATGGGAGGGCTTACACTCTGCATCATTTTGTTAAAAGATGGCTGAAAATCTTGTTTCAGTTCAGGGAGACTAAATCTAACCTTGGAAACAAATATATGTGCTCACTCTGCCTCACTTTTTCCCCTGTACAATCTTTCTTCAAAGACGTGTGGGTCTGGCCCTATTTAATGAATATGAATGCAAAAATGCTCAACAGAATTTTAGCAAACTGAATCCAACAATACATAAGAAAGATCATGCAATAGGATCAAGTTGGATTCACTCCAGAGTTGTAAGGATGGTTTAACACATGCAGACCAATCAATGTAATACACCACATTAATAAAAGAAAAGACAAAAACCATGATTATCTCAATGCATGCTCAGTCACTCAGTTGAGGCTGACTCTTGTGACCCCATGGACTGTAACCCCCCAGGCTCCTCTGTCCATGGATGTCCCAGGCAAGATTGCTGGAGCTGGTTGCCATTTCCTACTCCAGGGGATTTTCCTGACCCAGGGATTGAACCTCTGTCCCCTGTATTGGCAGGCAGATTCTTTACCACTGAGCAACCTGGGAAGTCATGATTATCTCAATAGGTGCAGAAAAAGCATTTGATAAAATTCAATATCCCTTCATGATAAAAATCTCTTACCAAAGTGGTTATAGAGAGAACATATCTCAACAAAAGCCATTTATGACAAACCCACAACCAACATAATAAGGAAAAATCTGAAAGCCTTCCTGCTAAATTCAGGAACAAGACAAGGATGCCCACTCTAATCACTTCTATTTAAGATAGTATCGGAAGTTCTAGCCACAGTGGTCAGGCTAGAAAAAGAAATGAAAGGTATCCACATTGTAAGGGATGAGGTAAAATTGTCATCATTTGCAGATGACATGATCTTATATACACGTAACCCTAAAGACTCCACACAAAAATCATTAGAACTAAGAAATGAAAGGGGGAGGGATAAATTAGTAGTATGAGATTAACAGATACAAACTACATAAAACAAGAGTGTATATATACACATATATAACGGAATCATGTTTCTCTGTACCTGAAAATAAAACAATATTTTAAATCAACTAAAATTAAAATAAAAAAGGTCTGAAAGTGTTTTGAGTCTTGAGGGAAAGGTGTTCAGAGTTCATGTGTCTAAGTACAGGACCACATCCATCAAATTCAAGGCCTTCTGAACACAACTTTTCAACAGGAGGATACTGGGTCTAGAGATGGGAGCTGAATAGGTACCCTGAAATACTGGGAACCTAGGGGAGGGGCAAGGTACTCCTCTCTGGCCAAGTGGCTTTGTTTTCTGAAAGATGACTGGCAATGCCCATGAACTTTCACAAAGGGGTAAGTAAGTAAGTGTCAGTCACTCAGCCGTGTTCGACTCTTTTCGACCCCATGGACTGTAAACCCATCAGACTCCTCTGTCCATGGGATTTCCCAGGCAAGAACACTGGAGTGGGTTGCCATTCGTGTCTGCAGGGGATCTTACAGACCCAGGTATTGAATCTTGGTCTCCTGCATTGCAGGCAGATTCTTTACTGTCTAAGCCACCAGGGAAGTCTAAATAACTAATAAAAGATGAGTGTGTTTTTCCAGAGCTGACATCTTGGGAACCAAGATAGAAATTCTTACAGTTACATCCTTCTCAAAATGAACCCAGTATAAAATTCAATATCCCTTCATGATAAAAATCTCTTACCAAAGTGGTTATAGAGAGAACATATCTCAACAAAAGCCATTTATGACAAACCCACAACCAACATAATAAGGAAAAATCTGAAAGCCTTCCTGCTAAATTCAGGAACAAGACAAGGATGCCCACTCTAATCACTTCTATTTAAGATAGTATCGGAAGTTCTAGCCACAGTGGTCAGGCTAGAAAAAGAAATGAAAGGTATCCACATTGTAAGGGATGAGGTAAAATTGTCATCATTTGCAGATGACATGATCTTATATACACGTAACCCTAAAGACTCCACACAAAAATCATTAGAACTAAGAAATGAAAGGGGGAGGGATAAATTAGTAGTATGAGATTAACAGATACAAACTACATAAAACAAGAGTGTATATATACACATATATAACGGAATCATGTTTCTCTGTACCTGAAAATAAAACAATATTTTAAATCAACTAAAATTAAAATAAAAAAGGTCTGAAAGTGTTTTGAGTCTTGAGGGAAAGGTGTTCAGAGTTCATGTGTCTAAGTACAGGACCACATCCATCAAATTCAAGGCCTTCTGAACACAACTTTTCAACAGGAGGATACTGGGTCTAGAGATGGGAGCTGAATAGGTACCCTGAAATACTGGGAACCTAGGGGAGGGGCAAGGTACTCCTCTCTGGCCAAGTGGCTTTGTTTTCTGAAAGATGACTGGCAATGCCCATGAACTTTCACAAAGGGGTAAGTAAGTAAGTGTCAGTCACTCAGCCGTGTTCGACTCTTTTCGACCCCATGGACTGTAAACCCATCAGACTCCTCTGTCCATGGGATTTCCCAGGCAAGAACACTGGAGTGGGTTGCCATTCGTGTCTGCAGGGGATCTTACAGACCCAGGTATTGAATCTTGGTCTCCTGCATTGCAGGCAGATTCTTTACTGTCTAAGCCACCAGGGAAGTCTAAATAACTAATAAAAGATGAGTGTGTTTTTCCAGAGCTGACATCTTGGGAACCAAGATAGAAATTCTTACAGTTACATCCTTCTCAAAATGAACCCAGTGTAAGAAATACATTCTCTTGTTTTTTGTGGAGTTTAAGATTATGTTAGGGAGGTATGTGATTTCAGCACAACCAATGCCATGGTTACTGCTTGCCAGGCACAGTACTGGCTCTGGGAGACCCAGAGATGAAAGGTTTACCTGGCATGAGCACAGGTTAAGAATTAACTTGAACTCAAGGTCACAGGATTCTGCACCATCCAACAGAAATGAGAGCTGCAAATGGAAGCCACACATGTAACTAAAATTTTTGTTTCTAATTTTTTTCGAATTTTTCATTAAAAATAAGTAAAAGTAATGCAACTATATTTTAGTTAACCCAATATATTACATGGACATGAGTTTGAGCAAGCTCCTGGAGATGGTGAAGGGCAGGAAAGCCTCGCCCACGCCTGCTGCAGTCCATGGGGTCGCAAAGAGTCAGACACAACTGAGCGACTGAACAACAATATATGACAGCTTTGTACCAATACGTAATCAATGAAAAATTACTAACGGGATAGTTCTCTTTCTCTGTACTAAATTTTCTAAATCCAATGTGTAACCTATTCTTTCAGCACATCTCAGTCCGAATATCCACATGTCAGGCACTCAGTCAAGGGCCGCAGGTGGCTAGTGACTTCCTTACAAACAATCCTTTATCAAGAAATGCTGGGTGGAGAGAATTCATATATTCAGAAAAGGCTCTCGCGACTTTAAAAGTCACGCGGCATTCTGCAATTCAGGGGAAAAAAAAACCGGAGACATAAGACCGGCTGCAAAACTTGGCTTCCAGAGCAG